TCGCTGAAAGCCCTCGAGTCCTTAACGTGGGTTGGTAATGCATCAAAATTTCGTTAAAATTAATTTGTTAGTAATGGTGGTGAGTCTTTTCTTTTGTACGTGAATTATGGGATTATGTTCTACTATTCCTTCTATAGTAAAACTGTAAAAGGAATGGTACATTTCCATTTTAGGAAAATGAAGGGGGTGACAATGCATTTTATTCTTACATAAAATGTGATATATTTTTTTTTTTGTTTTAAAAATTGTCATGCAGTGATGATATAACAATATTAATATAAAACAAATGTTGGGTGTATAATGAAATGGGTTAATTTTTTCTTGACATGATGAATTTTTATTAAAAGAAGTGTTTTACATTTAGCAACATCGGATTGTATTTCAAACAAAATTGTACAAAATAAAATTAAGATAGAATAAGAGAAGGAGAGACAAAGAAGAAAAATGATAAGCAAAAAGAAAGAAAGCGAATAATTTTTTTTTTTAGAAGCACGGTCAGAAAGGGAATAAATATATTATTATATATACAGGGACGCATTTACACTGCCAAAATAAGGAGACATGTCAAAGGATAACATGTGTTATTAAAATAGCAACTTATGAAATAAAAATTAAATTTGAGAGAAGGAGAAAAAGTGGGCCAGATATGATGCGGGGTGGATCAGGGAATACCGGTGCGGCAGCCATTAGCGGGATTGCAGCCTCGGTTGTAAGGATTGACGGGCTGGTCGTGGCACGGTGCGGGCGATGTGGGTCCGCATCCCATGCCGTTGTCGCGACTTATTGCGCCGTAACTTATACTACGACCTCCTTCTACCCCTCCCATTTTTGTTCCCATTATCACTAACCCACATATCAACACTACCATCATCCCCCTCCACTTTCCCATCTTCTTTTCTTCTCCAATCTCTTTACTCACTCGCTCAAATCCTCTTTCAAAATCTCCCTTTTTGTATCCTTCACATTCTTCTATTTCTTGTATTACCTATAATAAGCCTCATGCATGCATCTCCAAATATTTACCGCCAAATATGTCGCGCGCCATTTGCATGTGGCTACCCTTCGTTTCCTGCTCCTCCTCCCAAGCTCTGACTCTGTCCTCGCTACTAAATATAGATATTATTGTAATGCAATGTATGCTCAAACTTCCAGTGTGATTTTTCTTGACGCATAGATTAACAGTGTTAAAGTTTTTAATTTTTAAAGTATTTTTGAATATGTGAGGCAATATTTTAAAATTTAACCATGATTGAAAGTCAACCTGAGTGAACCTAATATTAGCCTCTCTGCACGGTTTTTTCCGGAGCTTTGTATTAAAATAAAAAGTCAACCTGAGTGTAAGAATTTTTGTAGTTATAGGAAAATGGGGGGATGTTTATGTATTCTACTGCACTAAATGTGATGTGATGATAGAACAATATTAAGAAAAGGTTAATAATTTTTGTAAAAGACAGCAACGCATAAAAGTTTATACGTTAATCTGATCATGTCATTAAAATTTTGTAAACATTAATTAATTTGTTAATAATAAATCTCTTCGTTAGTGAATTGCATGATGTTTTACTATCCCTCATTCGTTAAAAGGAATGGTACATTTCCATTTTCGGAAAGTGAAGGGAGGGTATGATGACTTTCAACTCTTTTTAATTGATGTAATATATTTTACTCGTGCATGAAATGTTATTAATTTTTTTTTTTTTGGGTTTACAAATTGTTACGCAATGATGATAGAACAATACAAAAAAAGAGTTGATAACTTTGCAAGAGACAAACGTATAGAAATGTATTATCATGTTATGTTTATCATGATATAACAAGTTAATCAACAGTGGTGCTAAAATAATAAAAATAAATAAATAAATAAATAAAGCGAATGGAGTCAATAAACGAGGGTAGGCTTAATATAGCTGAGCTAAGGTGTTAACTACTTTGGAAACTCTCTCCAAGCCTGGTGCTTGCCTTTTTCATTCAAAGGAAAAAACTTAATTAGTAAACAGCTGTACAGGCGGCCTTGAATGGGGAAATTAAATTAGATATGTACATTGCCATGATACGGAACCATAGCGATTTATGTAACAAGAAGTAAAAAAGTGGATAAAAATGGATTTGAAGATTGGGTAAATTTTATGAAGCTTGCGTGTTTAAAGAAGAAGGAAAAGATGTTATAATGTTTTAAAAAATAAAAAATGAAATGAAAAAAAAAATAGTTAAAAGAAATCATAAAAATGAATGAGTAAAAATTTGAGAAGATTAGGGGGGAGGGGGTTGATCCCCGGGACGGCAGTGGGTGGCGGGAGAACAGCCACGGGTGTAAGGATTGGCAACAGGCTTCTGGCACTGTGATGGAGATCTGGGTCCGCATCCTACGCCTCTGTCGGCACCAAGAGCCCCGTTCCCTATATTACCATCACTTGCCACTGCTCCTATTATCAGCATCCCCCATATCACCACCCCCATTATTCCCATCTCTTCCTTTCTTTTTTCTTTCCCTTCAATTTTCATCTTCTACCATTTCTTATACTCTCTCTCTCTCTGTGTGCATATAATATGTCGTGACCGTCTCCTCCTCCTCGCTCCTAAATATACACATTACTCTTTATATGAGTGGTGTCGCATAACTCACTACCTTCTCCCTATTTTTGGTCAAAAATTTCAACTTCTCTTTCTTCATCTCCGTGCGTGTTGCCAGTTTTCATGAGTCCTTTATTTGTGTCTTTCATTGCATGTCTATCTTACTCCTGAGTTTTTACTCTCTCTCTTGCCTTTTCTTAACACATTTTTCTTCACTTGTTTCATTTTTATCATATACTCCACCTGTTATTGTTTTTTTTTTTTTACAAAAATTTAATGAGTGGCATGAAATCAAACTTAAGAGTAATTTACTATTTTTTTTATAAATTGTTATGTTTTTGGAACCATTAATCTGAGGCAAATTTGCCATACTTTTACATATTTATTACCGTCATCCCTAATCTGTGATAATCTTTAAAGATAAAATATGCATGATGAAACGAAGGGAACGAGTGTTTTGCAGAAAATAACTATACGTCAAAATACTTTTCATAATTTAGTGGAGAGAGAAGAAGTTTGAGTCAGGGTAGACATAAACATGAATTTTTTTAATTATTATTATTTGTCTCAAACCTCCGAGTACCATAAAGGCACAAATTTCCCACTGACAAACGCGTTAACATTTGAAATTCTACCGATGCAACCTTTTCTTAGTTTTATAAATGGCTCTATTTCTCCTGTCAAAAATTTCTAATTGGACCCGTAGAAAATCATTGCTTCTATTTTATATATTATTCAAGAAAAATTTTTCATTATATTTTAAGATACATAAAATTTTAAATTTTAAACTTATAAAATCCAGCCATATCACATCAATCAATATGCTATAACAGCGTGAGATTATTTAGGGCTGCACAAATACCGGACTGGACCGGGTTGGATGTCAACCCGAAGTCTAGTCTGAATGGAGACCGGGTTAAAATTTTCAGTCCAAAGACTGGTCTAGTCTTGTTGGACCCGGGACCTGGACCGGGTTGGACTTGGTCCACCGGGTTACTGGACCAGTCCAGTTTCTTGAATCCAACTCTCTTCAAAAAAAAAAAGGTCCTCATATCCCCTTTCCTATTCACTTGTATCAATATCATAAGCTTACTACCGTTTGAGTTTCAAAGCAAGCACTGTTTAATTGCACATGATCCTTGTTATGAGATTAATTATGTTTCTTTCAGTTTTTTAGAGTATAAATAATCATCTTTCTCGCGTATTATATGAAGTACAAAAAAAGTGTCATACTATTCAATACCTATAAATATTACTACTGTTTTTTTTATTCTTGCAAGTGTCAAAGAGCTAGTTAGAGATTTGTGTTAATTATAAATGTAAGATTTTCATTTTTTTTGTCTCTTGTATTTTATTTTTGTCTAAATTACCCTATAATCATATTTTCATGCGATATGGAGAAATGGAGAAATGACAAATGAGGCTATCAGACTTCAGAGTTCAGAGACCGAGTCTGAAGCATGCACGTGAGGTGTGAGGGTACTGTTACTGGGTTCAACTAAGTAAGATCTTTTTTTTTTTGTAAATAATATAATTATTTAATATTTAATATTAAAAAAATAACCTGGACCGGGCCGGACTGATTGGTCCGAAAGAGCAGTCTCTAGTCTGGTCTGACCCGTATGTGCAGTCTGACCCGTTCAGTCCAGTCTTTTGTTCGGGTTGAATTTTTCAAGACCGGGTTGGACCGGGTCACACCGGGTCGGACCAAACAGACCGGGTTTGAAGTTTTTTTTGCACAGCCCTAAGATTATTTGGGGGCAAAAGTCAAATTCTGTAATACTATAAATAAAAATATATACAGCTCGTGACAATCATGATTCCCATCATCATGTCATTCTACTGAATACAATTAATATTGATTTATCTTGACCAACGTAACGCCCTGAATCTCGCCTAAGGAATATTTACATTCACAAGATTACAATCAAATCCTAATTAATTCCAGCACTCCCCCATAAGTTGAAGCATGTAGATTCACAACACCCAACTTGCTTATTGGAAATTTTAATCTATCCTTCCCACGTGCCTTCATAAATATATTTGCTAACTGGTTCTTCATCCATACCTTTCTAGGTTCAACTTCCTCTGATTGCACTCTTTCTTTTACAAAATAACAATCCATCTTAACATGCTTGATTCGCTCTTGGAAAACAAGATTCATTATTATATGTAGCACCGATCGATTGTCACGATACAATGGTGTTGCCTTGTTTTTTGGTGCTTTTAATTCTCGCACAAGCCATCTCATCCATATTATTTCATTGACCGTTGAGCCATTAATTGGTCAATATTTCGCTTCCACTGATGATCTTGACACCACGCTTTGCTCCTTTGACCTCCATGACACTGGTGCCCCCACCAACTTTGATGAGATACCTAGTACATGATCTTCATGTTGCCGAACATCTTGCCCAGTCCACATTGTACTAGGCTTCAAGTTCTAATGATCCCTTTGACGCGAGCACAATTCCTTGTCCTGGTGTGCACTTGAGATAATGCAATATTATCTCAGCAGCAACCATATGTACATGTTCTGGGGAAGCCGCAAGTTGGCTCAAGAGGTTCACAGCACATGCAATGTCTAGGCGAGTGATTGTTAAATATTGAAGTTGACCTAGTATTTGCTTGTACCGTGTAGCATCCGCCAACGCGACATCATCATTTACCCTGTAACTTGCAAAGCTGCTTTATTGGGAAACCACTTGGATGTCAATGCTCCATTTTTCCTCCTTCAATATATGCAACGTGATGATTGCACAACTTCAATCTCGATAAAATACTTCAATTTTCCCAAGTCCTTTAGACTAAATCTTTTATCCAAATGCTCCTTCATTTCTTGTATCTTTTGCAAGTCATCACCTGGAAAAGAACATCATCCACATATACAAGGCAAGCCACATAATATATTGAGTTATTGTATGTAAATAAAGAATGGCTTGCCCTGCTATTCTTGAATCCAATTTGAAACTTTTGATGCCAATTTCAAGATGCTTGTCGCAACCCATATAAGGATTTCTTTAACTTGCATAATCTTGTCTCCCCCTCACGATAGAACCCTTGAGGAATCAGCATCTAAATATCTTCATCAAGATCACCATGCAAGAACGCATTATTGACATCAAGACAGTGAACAACCCAATCACGTTTAGCAGCAATAGCAAGTAGAGTCCACACCATAACCAGCTTTACAACAGGTGTGAAAGTGCCATGAAAATCAATGCCTTGGACCTAAGTAAAACCTGTGTGATCAAACAATTAGTTTTTCTATATATTAATCTTTCATCAATAAGTATCCATTCAAGTTTTAACAATAATTTATTTTAAATTTATAATAATTCATTCAGAATTTAACATTCTAGAAAAGTAACAATTCATTAAACTTGTGCTTTTAATCATCAACTACAAGTACCTATTTACATTTTGATAATAATTCATTCTAAATTAACAACAATCCATTTGATCTTTAACAAGTTAGGAAAATAGAGAAGATGAACTTAATTGTATGTGTTAATCATTCATCAATAAGTGTACATTTAGATTTTTATAACAGTTCATTTGAACTTAACAATACTCTATTCTAGTTTTAACAAGTTAGAAAAATTAATAGAATGAGTTTAATTGTACGTGTCGGTCATTTATTAACAAGTATCCGTTCAAATTTTAATAACAACCTATTTATGACTAATAACAATATATTCAAACTTTTAACAAGTAAAATGCATAAAGATTTAAAGCTCGCAATTTGTGATTGTTCATATCATATTAACAAGTAACATTTATGAAATAATAAATTTTATTCAAAAATTAATAACACATTGTTTTGTTATGACATGAAAGTGGTTATAGAAGATTGGTTTACTACTTATATATATATATATATATATATATTGTATATATAATTAAAAGGTTTGGTGGTTTAGGTAGCTAAGGGTCATGAGATTAAATCTTCCCTTGACCAATTAAACCAATTATTTTTTAAATAAAAGTGTCATTGACATTGGAGTTCCGATGATTGGCCACCAATGACTCCACCAGCAGTAAGGGCTTTAGCAACCTCATCGACAACAGCAATTCAATAACTAGTGATAGCAGAATTCTTTTTTTCTTTTATTTTTTAATTAGAGGGGCAGTTTAGACTTTTGATTTTAAAAATTAACATCAGCCTATGATTAAGGAATTGCAGTATAATTTTAAAATTAATTAGTCGTTAATTGATATTAATTTATTATTGAGGCCCTTAGTTGCTATTTTTCCAAAACAAGAAAAACGCGGTTTGATTCTCCAGCGCACTAACTAGAAACACGCTCTCCGATGTCCGATTCAACATTTTCTTTTCCACCAGAAATGGACGCCATAGGCAGTGGACATGGCGGGTTCTGGAACTGGAATCCTTCGCCTGGGAAGCCCAATTTAAATCGCCCTCGACGGCAACGACGCTTTGATTCCAAATCCGAATCCTATGGTTCGGCCGAGTCCGCGGGTAGCTCCGGTTTTCGCTTCCCCCTCAAGCAGGCCGTGGCCGCCAGCTCCCTTGCCCTCACCGGCGATACAATCGCTCAGCTAACACAGCGTTGGAGGAAAGCAGAGGCTATCAAGAACTCTGTTCTGGATTCTGGTGGGTCCAAACAGGTCAGTGGAAATTTATTTCAATGTTTGGTTTTATTGCAATAAAGATTTTATTTGTCAACTTCCAATTAATTATTCATTCATAATGCAATGAAGATTGCACTTGTCGACTTCCAATTAATTATTCATTCATAAGAAGACTATGGGAACGTTCAGCTCATGGACACCATGACTAATTGGAATAAAGTTAGGTCTGGTAATTAAAAATAAGTTGTTTGAGAAGTTGATAAATTTGGGCTTTACATGAAACTAATCCTACAGTGTTACTTGCTTCTCTTCGTCTTTGGGCAGGGTATTTGGAATTTGGTGGTGCTTTAGTAACATTTCCATTGTCGACTTTTGAACTGCTTACTCTGGATTGAGATAAGAAAGAACATATAAATCTACACTACTTTTTTATTTGATTGAGATGATGGACTTGCAGGGATTTTTTCCCCTTGATAATATTGAACTGGTTAAATATAATGGCACCAATATACGTGAGCGTTGTCTAGAAACACTGCGATTATGCAATAGAATATAGTCATGTAAATTCATATTGGCCTTTCCTCGACCTGACATTGACTTTGAACGCTAGCCTTTCCTTGGATGTGGAATTTGGTCCGACAGATGGTTGAGAAACTTGATGCTACAAGGCCTGACACTTGGCGTTATCACTTCAAGTTATCATTCTACTTTAGATTAGTTTTAAGACATTTCAACCTATTGTTCATGTACAGATTACCAAAAGTTTTGGACATTAACAATCAATGCATCGTGGGATTATGTATAAAATGCAACCGTAACAGTTAAATCTTGTCAAAAGCCTCGTATAATGTATCTGGACATTTTGAGGGTAAATGAGGGCCCTTAAGATTTACTTTGCTATTGTAAGTTATGTTATTCTTGATCAAAAGCTTTCTGTTAGGATGAACTGTGGAACCACCTCTTAGACCATGATTGGCTACGTGCCTTGCGGATGACTTCCTACGGTTTCCTTTTATATGGCCCTGGATCTTATGCCTGGTACAAGTATCTTGACCACATTTTGCCTAACCCAACAGTAAAGAATATAATGCTGAAGGTATGTTTAGTTTACACTTTTTACAGCCACAGAATGTGATATACATACAGGAACTGCATTCAGAATACCTAGTCATTTCTCTGTTTTCCTCTCTTGGCAGGTTTTACTAAACCAGATTGTTCTGGGTCCTTCTGTCATTGCTGTTGTTTTTGCTTGGAACAATTTATGGCTGGGAAAACTCTCAGAGCTTCCAGAAAAATACAGAAAAGATGCCTTTCGCACATTGCTTTATGGTAGAAACTGCTGTTCATGATCATGATTTGGCGATGCATATTTCTTATGTGTTAATGCCTTTTGATTTTATTTTTCTACGTAGGATTTAGATTCTGGATCCCTGTCAGTGCGATAAATTTCTGGTGCGTATATACATATTCTCCTTTTGAATCTTTTATTGTTTTATAATCCTTTTCTATCTCTTAGCCGTGCTGGGTAAATGATGGAATATTTTCTGATATCATTAAGGGGTATAGAGAGACTACATCTATTTTAAAACTTTATCACCAACATGAAGGTATTGAAGTTCACTTAAAAATACAAAGTAGTGACTTACTGATCAATGCTGGTATTGTTTTGTGACTTGAACATTTTCTTATATAATAGATTAGCGTTGAAAATTCTGTTTGATGCATAACTTTCATAATTATTTATTTCCCAAAGTCAGGAGGCTTGCATAAATTAGTTTCATTTTTTTTTTTGGGTAAAATTAGTTTCACCTGGAAAATGAGCGCTGTTGAACTTCGAGAGTCAGGAGTTGTTTGGAATATCATTATAAAAATGAAGCTTCAAGTTAAATTACTTGTCTATTTCCCCCCCCCCAAAAAAAAAAAAAAAATCACACGTCTGCATATTGTAAGAAGTTTAGTCTGGAGGGTTAGTTTAAGTTAGTCTTATTTATGATTATGAAGATTCTAAAACCGTTTCTGCTGGTCTAACTTCTTAAAACTTTCGGACCTACCACTTCATCAAAGATTGTCTGGGCTTGAAGATTGTTGATAACACATTCTTGCTTGGATTAGGGGAAGCTGCGTGTCGTAATTATAAATCCATTCATGTCAAATTTGTGACTTGAATAGTTATGGTATTAAATATATATTGACGCCCTCAGATTTGCTGGGTGATTTTAAAATTTCTTTTCTAGTTTAAAGTTTGGCCTCTTAATCAGCGTTTTAGTAATTATTGAAGTTCAAAATTAATGTCATCACTATTCATTTAGATGCCAGTCGGATATGCTGTATCAACTGTCAATACCATCTTACTTATGACTATGACATGAGTTCAGGTTGGTAAAGTGAGTCAGACTTACAGTCGGTAATCCAACATCAAGATCTTTCTGTTTTTTTTTTCATTAACCGCAAAAATTTAATACTTATTTTTTACATCCGCATTTTTATGCTGTAAAACTATTCTGCACATTTTATTGGATGAAAATGGAAGATGGTATTCTAATCTTGAAATTGCTTGAGGAGGATTTTGTTCTGTGGTTACTTCTGAGTATTGATTGTGTTTGGCAAAATGTAATGGGGAATATACTGATTTACATGTTTTTGCTGTCTGCTTGAGCATTACCACGTCACTACAACTTAGCGATCTTAACCTGGTTTATTTATATTAACCTAACATTCATTGGCCATCTGCTCTGCATCTGAGCAGGGTGATACCACTTCAAGCTCGAGTGGCTTTCATGTCTATGGGCTCAATATTCTGGAATTTCTTCTTGTCGTCAACAATGAGCAAGTAAAACGTATGGAGGAAATTTTCCAGCAACTTCATAGTTCGAAGATTTCAACATGAGGTACTAAATCATGACTACATTTACTTCTTATTAACCATGGTAATTATTATAACATCAAATCTTGTCGTGCGTGTAGATTAGCTCATGGTCTTACGGACGAGGGAGAGGATAGTTGTGCAGAAGAGGCAATGATTTCATGGCACGTTTGGTTCGAAGAATCTATGGAAATGGAATGAAATGGAATGGAATGTAATAATGATTACTGCTATTTTGTCTGGTATGCTTTTAAGGAAAGGAGATGCAATAGGGTAAAAATGTTTGGTTCAATTACAAAAAACATGGGAATAGGCTGTATTAATGAATCAAAAGATAAAAATACCCTTGTATATTAAAATCAATCAAAACACTTTCCAGCTCTTTTCCACTCTAGTCCCCGTCCTCTTCAATAGTAAGGCTATTTTAAATGTGTGTGTATAATGCCATCTAAATATATTAAAACTAAATTATAATATTTAAACCAAACATTAACATATGCTTGTGTGTGCGTGTGAAACAAATTACCAACAGGCACAATTTTGCAGCAATAAAAATGCTTCCTACCAATAGCATAAATTTATTAAATATAAAGATATTCATGAGCACTAGTGTAGCTTCTTCATGTAGCAATAAAATGTTTCCTATCGAGTTATCATGCAGAAAAGTTGAACAGCCACATCCAAGAGGTAGAGTATAACATATTAAAATTAAAAAAAATACATAATCAAAATATAAAATCTACCTACTTGTATATATATATATATATAATCAGAACAAGAACACCATTAATAGCAAAATATATAAACATTTTCAAATAGTAGATTATCAAAAGCAGGACATAAAAATTCAACATATGACTTTACGAAATGTTGAGGTACTAATTAACTATAACCTCCTAAATATTGACAAATGCAATACAAGCTCACTCTACGACAATACAAAAAATGATATTGAGGCACTATCTACAATTTCCAAAATATTAACAAAAGAAAGACTTAAAATACATACTACTACACCTTTATATAAATGGAGTAGTATGTATTCTACATAGCCCATGGTCCTGCAAAGCAATCCATATAGAAGTCCTATAGAGCTAAATATATAAAGGTCCTACACATTTATTCAAGAAGGCTACACACCCAAGCAGTCATCTCGTCTTCAAGAATTAGTGTGAAAGCAACCACTAATGATGGAGACTCAGTAATTTTCATATGAGCCTTGTTTATCCCACCCCATGTGTGTCCTTGTACTCTCATAAGTTGCTTATATATTTCCTCTACTCTGTCTAAATCAATAGGACAAATCTTTTTTTGACTCTTTTCACATTTCAACAAATTTCTTACATAAATTCTCTAAGAATTTTATCATTGAGTGGTCTATATGAGAAGATGAATCCTTTATAGCTTCAGCAAGGACCTCTATAATATCATGACTACTCCTTCGCTTTCATTTTGTAGATGATTGGACCTCAGTTGACTGCGCAGGTTGTTGCTCAGATGCATTAACATTTGTATTTGTGTTAATTCCTTGTTCAACATTGATCTCATATTCAATTCTATAATCCTCTTCATCATCTTCAGCAAGAGATGAAGGTATCGAGGTAGTCATTCCAATTGCACGATCCTTACCCCATGTATACGTTAGATCTTTAAAGTGAGGTAAGCATTTATTCCTAAAATTTCCAGCTTGCTTCTTAACCTGAAAATGAAGAATAAATGGTTCATATATATATATATATATATACATATATTAAATAAAATAAAATAAAAATAATAATATAACATATAAAATCTAACTTTATATAACAGTGACTCTATCACCTTCACATATTTAGCCCATACATGATCTTCAGTTGTCACACACTTCTTTTCAGTATCCCACCCAAAGCCAGAAGTGTTTTTATTATTCACCATATTATATACAACTTGCCATGACTTCTTAAATGTTTTTAACCTTGAAGCAATATGAGGGTTAGCAAGTAATCCATAACCTAGAGCCTTTGCCTCTAGCATCTCCTCTAGCCTATTCAAATATCCCGCACTAAATCCTGTATCCGCAACAAACTTCTTATCGGTTTTTAATTGGACCAAGCATTCAACAAGCATGCTGTCTTCTTGAACTGTCCAAACATGCTTGCTACCCTTACTAATATCTTCTTGTGTTTCCATTCTATGTAATAAAAAGTGAGAAAAGAGCAATAAGAGTCTAAAAGATCCCAACTCATAAAAGATTTTAATATATAAAATATAAATCATGCAAATGTACTAGACATACTAATACAAATAAACTAAAATCATAGTAGCTAAAACATTAAAAGTCATTTCATTGAACAATTCATACTAGCCAAAGGCTTTATCTATTAGTCCTACGAGCTATAAATGTATTAAACATTTTATTAGCCATGTTTTCCCGAAAAGCACTCCAAGCATTTGATAGTTCCATGGTTGAGATGGGATTAATGTCCATTTAGGGATTCAGTAAGTCAATTGCATCAAATTCAGCCTCAATAAGGTCGTCTACATTGTCTCGCATAATGAGATTATGCAAGAGGCAACAAGAGAGTATATATCGATTTTGAGTTCGAATGGGATAATATGAAGGACTCCTTAATATTGCCCAACGCATCTTTAAGATCCCAAATGCCCTTTCAATGACATTCCTAACAAATGAATGTCGCATATTAAAACACTCTTGTGGAGATTCAGGATGTCTTCCATCACACCAATCACTTAAGTGATACCATTGTTCTCTATATGGGGCAAGAAAGCCTTCATAATTTGTATTCCCCATATCAACTAGATAATAATTCCCTGCAAATAGCATGTTACCACTATTACAACCCGTAAAATAAATTAAATTATATAAATACAAAGCTGAAAATCATACCTTGAGGAACTTTAAAGCCATTTGGTCTACTAAATGCATCTCTCAAGACTCTACTATCAATTGCAGACCCTTCCCAGCCCGAAAAACAAATATAAATTCACTATTTGGAGAGCACACACCAAGAACATTGGTAGTTATGTCTCCTTTTCTATTTCGATACCTATCCTTCATTTGTGCAGGCACTTGAACCCTTATGTGAGTTCCATCCAATGCACTAAGGCAGCCCTACGATTATTTGTTCATTGATAAAAAAGAATTAACTTTAAAACTATGGAAACATGTGTTTTATGTTTACCTTAAATCACTTCCATCTCTCATCTGTTGAATCTTTAAGGATTGGCTCTGGTATCTTAAATAACTTATATTGAAGGTGAACAACTACTTTTGCAGCTATATTGAAATATCGACTTATGGTTTCCCCTTACCTCCTAAATTCAAACTAAATAACTCTATTTTTCATATGGTGAGCAAGTATATGCAAGAAGATTGCAACTTGTTCATCCATTAACATATGTCTACTTGGTTTTAGACCACCTATGGTCTCTAACATGCCACAAAGTCAAAAAAATGTACATCTATATATCGCAATTTGGTTGAAATAAGTTATATCACTTCCATGTACCATCAAGGGTGTATGGCAGATCATGAATGTATCTAGTACTATATATAGCCACACTAAACATTATGTCAACAAGCATTTTACAAATAACATGCATAATCATAATGTAACATCCCAATTTAAATTTTAATAGTTAATTTGGGTTAATAGAAATTTAAAAAATAATAATAATAATATTTAGAGGTAAGAAAATTAGTAGAAAATAATTATTAAATCTAATTTAGGATATAATTCTAAATTAAAAAAAATTTATTAAAAATAAAATAATAAAAAAATATTATTAAATTATTATTATAATAAAAAAGGAAAAAGGTATGCAAAAAAAAAGAGAAGAAGAAGGAAGAAAACGTGAATGCTTTCGGCGCCGCCTCAATAGTAAAATAAAATAATAATAAAAAAAAAGAAGAAAGAAGAGAGAGAAAAGAAATAAAAAAAATGTGTGGGACCCACTGAATTTTTATAAAAACTCACCTGTTCCTTCATTTCTTCATTCCTTCTTTCGTGCGTGAGCTGAGGCAGAGAGAACATCTGTGAGCCAAGTTCACCGGTGCTGGGCTTTAAGGTAAAAGTTTTTAATAGGATATTTAGGGTGTGATTTTAAGCTTTTCAAGACTAAGTGTTCTAAAATTTTTTTCTTAGTCATCCTTCTTCTTTAGTTTCTGAGTTTGTAGTAGTAAAAAATTTAAGATCTGAAAGAGGGATGAATTTATGTTGAATAAATATGATTTTTGAGGTTGTCAGTAGTATAATAAATGTTCTAGAGTATAAATTTATTGATGATCTTTGAATCTGTGGCTTATGGATCAAATTCTAAACTAGATCTGAAAATATATGTTGATTTATTGAGGTTTAGATGATTATTTGGGATGAGAAATGAATTATTATGGTTATAGGATTATGATTCTAAGCTAGAGACTCAATTTTTAATTTTTGGGTATTTTAGGTACGAATTTATGAAATAAAAAGAAAATTTTGATAATAGAAATTAGTTTAGAAGCTAATTTTTTTGATTATTAATGTTTATTGATAATTAAAAGAGGAGTTAAAAATTTTACTTAATAGTATTAACTCTAAATTTGTATTAAGATTGAGATTAGAAATTATGTTATATTTTTAATTCTATTATTAGAATTATTTTATTAGTTTCAAAAATTGAAACTAATATTTATAAATAATATATTATTTGTAGATTGTATTACTGGTGAAGATTGTGGTGAGAGAGAAATTTTAAGGAATAATTTATTGAAAAAGCCACAAGGTAACCATGCTTTTAATTTGTGATTAGTGTTACTTCATGTTAATTGGGTGATTATTGAGAAAATTATGAATTTTGTAATATTTTATAATTGTGCAATATTATTATGAATTTGTTTAATTATTATGAGAGGTGTTGGGAGACTTGTTATTATTATTGTATTTATGTGCCACGTGATACGCCCCTATTGGAGCTCAATAGGTGGCTTGTAAGGGCTCGGGCTAATTTACCTTTGGCCGGGTAATTTAGCACCGAGTGAGGGTTACGGCTCGAGGTTAATGGAGGGATATAAGGATGGTTGTTTGTGTTTATTATAATATTTCTTATATTTGTTGGAATTATATTATTTTTAATTCTTACTTAGTAAGCACACACTTAACTGTTTGTATACACTATCATAAATTGGCTTTGGTTACTGGGACTTTTGAGTCTCATTATGTGGTTAACAATTTTCAGGAGAAGAGCCACGAGTAACACGTGGAGGAGTCCCAGAGGCTTAGTGGTATAAATCCACTGTCTCTTTTAGGTATTTAATTTATGATTTATAATGTGTTATATTGCCAATATTAGGGCTTTTTGTTTATTGTCAATTATATGAATATATAAATGTAATCATGCCTTTCAAACTATTTC